CATGAGTGGATAAGCGTCACATATTCCCCCTTGAATATCTAATCTTTCATCTGAGCTTCTGACATTTATCAATCAGCAGTGAAGTTAAGATAAGCAGTGAAGTTGGGGCGCCTGGGTGGCTCAGTCGTTGGGCATCTGCCTTTGGCTCAGGTCATGATCCCAGGGTTCTGGGATGGAGCCCCACATTGGGCTCCCTGCTCCACGGGAAGCCTGCCTCTCCCTCTCCAACTCCCCCTGCTTGTGTTCCCTCTCTCGCTGTGTCTCTCTCTGTCAAATAAATAAATAAAATCTTAAAAAAAAAAAAAGATAAGCAATGAAGTTAAGATAAGCAGGGAAGGGGCGCGGGGGTGGCTCAGTTGGTTAAGCAACTGCCTTCAGCTCAGGTCATGATCCTGCAGTCCCAGGATGGAGTCAGGGAGTCTGCTGCTCCCTCTGACCCTCTGCCTTCTTGTGTGCTCTCTCTCTCATTCTCTCTCTCAAATAAATAAAATCTTTAAAAGATAAGCAGGGAAGTTACATGTGTGGAGGACAGCTATGCTCCCTAAGTTGAGTATGAACCCATTTTAGCTAGGGGAAGAGATAATGACCTTTTATGAATGCTGAGAAGCTTATCCAGGACTAATAGCTGAAAAGATGATCATGCTACCTCCATCATGAATACCTACTATCAGAGCTCTTAACAATTCTTAGAAATGATACTGAACCTGCTCCAAAAGAATACAACTGAAAATGTTGATCAAAGACCAAACCCAAAGTTCTGCCACACAGAGCATGACTAAAAGAGCTTTAGCTAAAAATAGAATCACTGTAGCCAAGGTATGAACAGTCTCATGAGGCATACCCAAGCAAATAGTACAAGGAAAGTAAGTCACTCAATTTGAAGTTCTTTAAAGGATCACACTGCCAATCATACTAACGTTTTCCTTATCTGCAGTTCACCCACTAAGTTCAAACATAGGAAGAGACATTTTTTCTAATTATTCATCAACTAAAATGTTAAGTTCAGAGTGCTAAAGCTCACTTATTTAACCGAGGCCTCTGGTTGCTTTTTTTTTTTTTTTTTTAACACATGATAAATTTACTTATCCGCTTTCCTAGTTCACAGCCAATTATAATAAGCACATGAGGATAGGAAGCACAAAGGAAAGAGCTGCTAGAAACAGGCAGAGTTGTAAGAAACACAGATAACTTGGTGGGAAGCAATAGTAGAATGCAAAAGCAGACAAAAAACTTTAAACACACAATCTTCTGGGGCCATGCTGCAAAAAGCTCTATGCATCTCAAGAGTCCTCAAGGACAGCCACTGCATAGGACAATTCACAGAACCAGATTCAGAGTGAAATCCTCAATAAAGATTCTATTATTCTTTACAGAGTCTTTTTAAAGAAGGTAGGGAAATATGAAATCCATTTTTAAAAGTGATTCACCCAAAATGTTTTAAATATTAATATTTATTGTGGCTTAAATTTAAACACTTAAATTATAAGCTTCAGTTATACAGAAGATTGCACTCCACAACTAATGCTGAGTAGAGCACTATAGTTGATGGGAGAATTTTAAGCTTAACTCAAACATTAGTAACATGGAAAATAGAAGCACCTCATTTCCTGACTACACTGGAAAAATAAGGCCCTATTGTTACTTGAAATAACATTCAAATTATGAAATAATATCTTCACCTACAGAAAACCAAGAATAACTACGTACATCTTATTAGAAGTACTTTAATTTTGAAAACCATCATTTGTCTCCACTCATCACACTTTCTCCTTAAGTGGCTCTTGTTAATCCTTTCTATCCACAAGACAGGAAAATTATGACTGTGAGGAGTTTCTCTTAAGGAATTGATTGTAAAAGTTAAACAAATGTTATATTAAAATCTGATTATGCATATAAAAACTATATACTTTAATAACTTTCTCATAAACCAATGTTGACCTACAGAAAGAGACTTTCCATTTTAATTCTTTGTCAACAGAAGTAAAAGCAAAAGAATATGTAAGTTTTTCAATAAAATGTGAAGCTTAAAAATGACAGAAAAATGACTAATAATGCACCTGGTTTTCTATAGATGAAAAATAGAGATTTAAAAAAGACTGCAGGACTTTAAAAAATTAATTTTTCAAAATTCTAAACGGTAAAGAATATGCAGGGAAAATACTAGTTGGTACAAAGAGCCAAAATCAGTCTATGAATATTTTGGAGTTGAATGTGGAATATTTAGAGGCCTCAATGACTTTCTCTCCTCACTACTTTCTTTCCACCACAATCTGTAAAAGGCATGATAAAATAGTACTAAGTACCATACAAGTATTTTTAAGGCTACAATACATAAATGTTCAATAGAACAAAAACAAGAGACAAAAGAATTACATACATAATCACAATGAATCGAAATTCAATTCAATTCAGGTCCTGACTCTCTTACCTAACCCAGCAACCCACTTCAAAAGTTCCACACCATAACAATACTGTTCTTGTACAAGACTTTATGCCTAAAGAATTGCTTAGTTACATAATAAGGCTTTAAAACTAAGCTGAAAATATGCCTAAGTTGTGTAAGGGATAAAGAAAAGCATTATATCACATAAATATTATAGATACAGTAGAATGATATGAGGTGGTTGGGGGGGTATTTTGTTTTGATTTGCATTGGTAAATTATTCACAAGTTTTCTAGAGCATCAGTAGGGAAACATAAAATGGGAGGCAAAGTTCAAAATGTTTTTCTTTAGAGGGAAAAAGGCACATACCTCATCTAGCTACCATTAAATATATGTCTACCATTACCCTGCTCATATTTGGGGAAATTCAAAAGAAAATATCAACACATTTTATTTGAAGTCTATTATTAGTTTTAGGGCTGTTATTGAAGGTTACTAATGATGTAGGCTAAGATGATTTTACAGATGTGAAAACTAGATAATGAGATGTTTGCATGGCTTGTTAAAGGACACAGAACTCGTTAACGACAAAGTAAACTTAGAACTCAAACTAAACCAACTTCTTCACAACTTAAATATCAAATCACCTCTAACTTGATATATAAAAATTAAAAAATGAATTCATTAAGAGACAAGGGTAAGATACCACAATTTGGTAACTCTGAAAGGCAAAGAAACATAAATGCACAAATATTGATTTGTTCAGGCAGAGCTACTTAAAACATACAAATGGCCTAGAATGACTTTTTTTCCAAAAAGTAAAAGCCTTTTAGACAAAGCCTATCAAACAGATCCCATTACTATTGAGATGGATGATAATTTATATAAATCACCAACTCTTCGTACATGAAGAACAGCCTTAGTAGTAAATCCAAATACACACGTTGAAATCTAAGCCAGAAATTGAAATTTATTTTAGTTATAACACTAAATTTATGTGTAAATTATACCTGAGGTCAGCACTTATATTCATTTTGCAATAGAAAATAATTATTCAAATAAAATTAATGAAAATACAGCAAGCCCGGACAGCTGTCCACACAAATCAGTGTGATATGACTGAAATTTCTTAAACATAACTTAAAATGTTATTTAAATAAGGTTGAGATACAAGTCCTTTCTTCTGGCCTGCCTCAGATGAGGGAGCAGATGAACATCAAGTAACCCAAAATCAGCCAGGACAAAAATGGAGAAGCAAGAGTACCCACCCTGAAATTATTCATTCAATAAATATTTGTTGAGCATTGGATGCTATAGTGTGAAGAATTAAAAAAAAATTAAAAAGACAATTGAGCAAAAAACTGTCCTATGAAGTTTAACTGTGAGGGAGCTTTTATGAAATATATTACCCCAAGAATGCTGGATCCTGCTTGAGATGATCATCTTTTTAAAAAAATAAAATAATAATCTTTAATATATGTAAAATAAATCAGGTTTGATTATTGTTCTCTTTTCCTAACCTAAAAAAGGAAGATTTGCCTGGATTTAAAAAAATTTAATACCTGTCTTCCTCAAAAGGTTGCATCCTAGACAGCCCAAGTGGTAAATTAAACCAAGTCCACATTATTTTATTGTCTACAGCTCAAAGTGCCATACAGTTAGGGAGGCAGGTCTTCCTGCTATTTAGGCAAACATCTGTAATGGTCCAGGTTAAAAAAAAAACAAAAAGTCACTCAAAGTTATTGAATATAACTCCTAGCATAAATATCTGTGTGCTGCGACAGACGCTTGACACATTTTTACACAAGAAGAAATACACAGAAATGGAAAAGGAGGAAAAGGTGTCATTTCTTAATTATTAGAGGATAACCGATGGTTGCTGCTGAGGTGTTTGGTGAAAAATCAGTTATTTCTGAATACAGATACTAATTATTCCCTTTATGTTTCTATATTTCCTAGAGTAAAGGAATACTACATTTATAATTAGAAACTCTTTAAGGAAAGGCAGACTTGGAATAAAACATTGACACGAAGACTAGGTATCCTCCACAAGTCCCACTCTTTATAACAACTGCAGAAACTGCACTAGCTCTGCAATTTAAAAGTGGAGAGAAAACACACACACACACACACACACACACACACACACAAGGCAGGCTTGTAGTAGACACTCAATACTGGTGGAATGAAATAACTGAATATATGCGTAAACAAGCCAAAAGAAAAACAAAATGCATTCTAATTTTGAAACAACACAGTAACGACTTTACCAAAAGCTGGCTGACAGCTTAACGAGCCCTAAATGAAAGAGCTTTTCCTTTCTGTCCTCCTCTCTTACTCTGACACTAGAAGACACATTCAAAACAAATCCTCCCCCAGCCCCGCCCCAAGCCTTATCCTCGCTCGTCTCTGAAACTGTCGGAAAGTCCGGGGCCTCGCGGTGCCCAGACCCCGGCCCCTCTGAGGGCGCTTGCGCCCGCGGACACGCCTGGTGCGGCAAAGCCTGGGACCACGGGCCCCCCAGTCTGCGGGACCCCCGGGGACTCGCGCCCTCAGCTCTCAGCCCTCGGCGCCGGCGGCCCCCTCCCCTCGCTGCGAGCTGCGGGCCGAGCCGTACCTGCACACCGTGATGAGGTTCCTCCTCTCCACCGCAGCATTGCGGGCGCTCAGGCTCTTCTTGCCGCCGCCGCCGCCCCCGCTGCGGCTCCCGCTCAGGCCCCCCAGGCTCCGGGAGGCCATGGCGGGCTGACCCCCTCACCCCTTTTGTCTGCTGCGACCCCTCCCGCCCCCACACCTGCTCCCCAATGCGCTCGCTCGTTTTGCGACCGTGGGGGCACTGGAGGGTCGTGGGGCAAGAAGCGGGGACCGACGGAGGGTGTGGAAGACCGCGGGGGAACTCGTACCGAGGCACTGACGGCTCGCGCTCCGTACCCAAGCTCCACACACACACACAGACACACACTCACACACACTCACGCGCACACAGGCACGCACCTCCCCCGCCCTCGCGCGCGCCGCCGACCGCAGGGCGGTGCGTGCGGGGCGGTGTCGGGCGCTCCCCTGCTTCCCGAGAGATCTCGGCTGCCAGCACGCGCGCGTGCCCGCCGGCCCGCACGCCCTACCACCTGCCTTCGGCCGCCACTCGCGCCCCAGGCGCGACTGCTGCGGTGAGGCCACGGGCCTCGCGCGCGCAGCCCCGCCCTCCCTGCACCTATCAGGCCAACGCAGTCCACCTGGAGCCAATCGCGGCACGCGAGGGGCGGGGCCGGCCGCGTGGCTCCTTAAAGTAACGTGCTCGAGCACCGCCCCGGCGCGTGGGCAGCTGTCAAGACGCCGGGCTCGCGCTCGCAGCCCGCGTGCCGCAGGCAGCCGGCACGCAGCGGAGCAGCGCTGCAGTTTGCACGGGGATTGTGGGATGCGTGGCGCGGGAGAGCTCCGGGAGGAATGCTGATCGTTGCCGGGAGCCCAGCTTTAACTGCTGGGATCTCTAGCTTTAGCGGCTGATCTTTTTCACGCCGGAAGCCTATTCTCAGGTCCACAGCCCCGAAGATGCAGCAGCCCGGCGCTCGCAACAGACCCAGGACTTGACTCCCAGGAAAGGAGCAGGATTCCTTTTGTCCTAACTCCCTCTGGTCTGGAAAACAGCCACAAATAGCCGGGGGAGGGAAATTGCCTGTAGAATATCGTCCTTGGGCGTCTGATGGCGGGATTTCTTGACCGTCCACGCCACGTCGCTCCTCCCTTAGCCTCAGCACGTCCTGCAGCCAGGACTGACCGCTCACTTGAGAACGAGCGCGGTGCTGATGTGCACCCTTCTCCGGGCCTAGGCAGAGACCCCGGAACTGGGTGAGGAACAGTGAGTCTAGGGGCAGTTTGGGCCTTGGCTTCTCTGGGCTGCTCCCGGAGAAGGGTGCCGCCCTGGTCGCGTGTGCTTGGAATCTAGCGCCCACTTTGCAACGCTTCTTCACCCTCCGGCCTTACCAGCAGCAAGGTCCTAGCCTCTGCCGCATTCTCCGGTACTCACCTAAGTGGCCCTCTATCTCCCTTTGCTCAGATTTCAGAGTGAAATCCCTAACTACTGTCCCCGTGGAGCCTAGCATGGTGCCCCGCATACAACAGGTTCTCAATAAATGTTCGTTAACTGTAACTTGAAGTTACATTTAGCATTATTTTACTGTAATTTTACAATTTCGGTAGTTCCAAAATCCTTATTACTTCCACCTCTGGTTTTGAGGTTTCTGTCAAAGAAGATCGTTATAGAACATACAGTTTAGTATAGATATCCTTGTATTTTGTGTATATTATACAAAGGAGGGACTGGCTCTATGTTGAACGCTTAAAAAACAGTTTTGTATAATAAAGCTGTAGATGACTAATACTTGAGTTTGTAAAAAATTTTAAATCTCTTAAAGTCATTATGGCAAAAACAGCCCCTTTCAGCTACTAAGTCTAATCATAGTAGAATAAAGATCTGTGTGGGGAAAAAAAATTTGTCTCAACTAACTTACTGCAATAAACATTAACACATTAAAATTAGAGAAAATAACTTAGACTTTAAACTTTCTCTTTCACAATAATAAAAGCAGGAGGGTTTTCTATGTCGGTGCACTTGTTCCCAAACATCCCTTGTCTTCTCCATGGTAACATGGATGCTTTTAAGGAGAGTTGCTGTTCTAGAAGCTCCAATTAACTTGTTTCCTCTTGCTACACCAACAGTTTGAATTCAGAAGTAGCCATCAGGAAACAGATGCACTAACTACAGAGGCAGTCTCCGTAAAGTATTTGCACTGGCAATGACAAATACGACTCACATTGAAATTTTTGTGGTTTAAACACAGTTGAAAACTGCATAAGGAAAAGAGTGGAAAGCCATCAATTACCAAGAAAATTCCTAGACACTTATGCTGGTTTGTCTCGTGGTAGAGAGAAGACACACATCCTTCACACTTATCAAGAAGACAAAACCGAGGGTGCCTGGGTGGCTTAGTAGGTTAAGGGTCTACCTTTGGCTCAGGTCGTGATCCCAGGGTCTTGAGATTGAGTCCTGCGTTGAGTTTGCTTCTCCCTCTGCCTCCCTCTCTCTCTGTCTTCATGAATAAATAAATAAAATCTTTTTTAAAAAGAGACAAAACCAAGGGGTCATGTCAAATACAGAAGAGTGAGGTGTCATTATTCTCAAAATTGGCTTTCTAGTCTCAAGTACATGTTTTTAAGATTTGGGGTTTTTTTATTTATTTTTTTAAAGATTTTTATTTATTTTAGACACAGCAAGAGCAGGAACACAACCAGGGGCAGAGGGAGAGGGAGAAGCAGGCTTCCCACGAGCAGAGAGCCTGATGGGGGCTTGATCCCAGGATCCTGGGATCATGACCTCAGCTGAAGGCAGATGCTTAATGACTAAGTCACCCAGGCACCCCAAGATTTTGTTTATTTAGTTGAGAGAGAGAATGTGAGAGGGGGAGAGCACAAGCAGGGGAAGGGGCAGAGGGAGAGGGAGAAGCAGACTGCCCGCCCAGCAGGGAGCCGGACTGGGCCTTGATCCCAGAACCCTGGGATTATGACCTGAGCCGAAGGCTGATGCTTAACCGACTGAGCCACCCAGGCACACTCAGGTATATTTTCATGTTGTTTGTGCTATAAATTTATCTTTATGACTGAAGACTTAGTAAAATTTCATCTTAGATGATCAGGTAATAGAGTTTTTTTCAAATGCTACTTTTCAGGGGATTCAGTTGACATAGGTATTTGCTGAAAAAGATTTCTCATTAAGAAAGGCCATTTTTTTGTATGTACAGCGAATCATTAAGCTGCCACATGGGGGCCTTATTTGATAATGCTTTTTCTTAATTGTCCTGAGCGATATGTCCAGGGTCTCCTTTCTCTAGAAGACAAATCTGGAAATTATATTCACTAAAAAGTATAATACTATTATAAAGCCACATGAGTTTTCACACTACTTTTTCCACTTTTTCCAGCACCAGTGGCAGTTCTTTATTTCATTTATCTGAGCATTTGAACAAAGGTTATTTAGAGATGTAAAAAGACTCCCAAGAAAAATAATGAAAATAGTAGATGCCTAATTTAAATTATAAGAATGCTGTAGAACTGAATGGGCAGGCCATATTTATTCACCATTTTCCCAACCTCCTCTTTCTCCCCATCAAGAAAGACGGTATTACAACGGTAACATATCCTCACATCTAAATATCCTCAGTTCTAAATTGCTATAAGCAAGAGAGATTACCAAAGCATTGTTTATTTTAATCTCAAAGAAGTAGCCTTTCTAAGCATGCCCATACACAGGAGCCAGACAGAAAAGATGAATAAATTTGAAGACACAATATTTTTTTTAAAGATTTTATTTATTCATTTGTGAGAGAGACAGAGAGCGAACAAGCAGGGGGAGAGGCAGAAGCAGACTCCCTGCTGAGCAAGGAGCCCGATGCGGGGCTCGATCCCAGGACCCTGGGATCATGACCTGAGCCGAAGGCAGACGCTTAACTATCTGAGCCACCCAGGCGCCCGAAGACACAATATCTTTTAAAAGTCCACGAAGTGAGAGAAGGGGATGTGAAGACAAAAGCAGAGGTTAGAGAGAAGACACTCACACTGCTGGATTTGAAGACGGAGGGAGGGGGCCAGGAGCCAAGGAGCACAGGGGGCCTATGGAAGTTGGAAAAACAGCCCTCACAAACAAATACCCTGGGTAATAGTGGAGACCCCTGGGCCCAATCAGGCATGGAAGCAAGAACTCAGAGAAAACTTGATGGGGTAGCCCGGGAACATGGACTCCATGCTGCTAGTGCACTCCTGCGGAGGCCACAGCCGTGCAGGGAGGATCCGCCACGTTACATTCTCATAAAGCCTTGATATGGATGGAGGAACAGTTCAAGGCCGGAACGTGTTGAGGGGATGAGGGGTCATGCCAAAGTGGAAGATAGTGAGTGAAAAACTTAAAGTCCTTTGGCAGAACTGGCCAATGGCAGACCAGGTCTTTCTTCTCCTCAGAAAACATCAGAGGAAGGGCCCGACAGGAAGGTGTGGCTACCACAATTGTCTCATGGTTTCCACATCCTGCTGAGGACCTCCTGCAAGAAAGCAGAGACTACTTTCCACATGGCTTGTGAGTCTCGGTCTCATCCTTCTGTGGTCTCTGAACTGTTTTCATTTGCCTCACGAGCCAGTCCTCAAAAATATTTATTGAATGAATACAATAAAAGAGCAAACGAACAAGTGAATAAATAGACAAGTTAAAAAGAACCAAATGTTGTCACAAAATATCACCATTTTTCTTAGTGTGGAGGTGCAGAGCTGGCAATGAGATGGAGATTGGAAAGGATCCCTTTTTTCTTTTAATCTCCCTAGGAAGGACCTGAATAAACATATCCCCCGCTACAGTTAGACATACTGGCAGGTGTCCTGGGGCCCAGAATAGAAAGGTGCAGCAGAGGGCTGTTGCGGCCGCTGTAATTGGCATACAGGCAAGCACTCCCAGTGCCTCTCCCAGCACATTAGAAATCTGAGGGGGTGGGTGCTAATAACCCATAATCAGTGTTGCATTTGCCAACAGCCAAACGAAAAATGAACCTTTAATTGAGCGAGATTTGGCATCAATCAGTGATGTGACTTTAGTCAGGCAAAACTGACAGATTACTGAGTCAGACATCCAACTGTGAGAATTGTTCTCTACTGGGGTGAAGAATGCAAAAATGTGAATAAATGGCATTTCTTAACCACCC